GAAACGGTGAATTCTCGGGCACCGCTAGACCTCGCCATCGATTCTTTTGTTGGCATTCTCACTTCTCCCGGATGTCACATGTGAAATGAGTGCTGGCCTCGGCGGTCATATATTCAGGCCCCCCAGCCACTCAGTTTTCTTGTGAACATATGCTCACACACAGCGCTCACATAAACACACATTGTATAGATGATAGATAGACATTTCATACATAATTACACAGCCTGAACATGGGGCGCCTCTGCACCCAGGCTCATTGGGCGCCGTTTTTTCTCCGGGCGCAACTCATTGCCCACGAAAGTGCTACCAAAAGCACATGGTAGACATGATTGTCACTAAAAAACTCTTACTAGTAGTACCTTTTTCTTCATGGTAACGTAGCAGAACCTAAGCTTCGCCAAGCTGACTGCGCTTCACGGTTGCGAAAGTAAAACAAGAATGCAGGGCGTCCACTGCAGTGGGTTCCCTGAGTACCTGTTTCTTAAGAATCCTATACGAGGCATCGATAAGGGGGCGCTAACTTAGAGCAACTCGCACAAGTGCGGAAAGGACCAGCAACTGCGCTCGCACTTCACAGATTTCGGGCCTCCCGGGCTGTTGCAACTGCAGCCACGGAACTGGTGGGTCCCCCCAGTCGTTGAGGTTGTAGGCCGACCTCAAACCACAGGCACAGCCAGACTTCCAAAAGCCTGCTGCGAGCTTCGCATAGAGATTCAAAGGCTCTCCTAGCCACAGATGTCATGTAGTGTAGCTGGATCCATAAAATACTGTACGGTTACACATGCTGCCACAGTGGCTCGACCAGAACAAGCACCTCGGCACTGAATCACACTGCATCACCCTACGGCCCTCCGTGCAACACTGGATTGAGGCTTGGTGGCCGCCTGGCAGTCGGAGTGAGAGACCATTACTACGGATAGGTATCAGCCAAATGTGAGCCTGCAACAACATTTTGTCGTACCCTGTGACCCTTTGAGAAGCAGATGGTGGGCTCTGAAGCATCGCCCAAGCCCGTGGGATGGGGAGGCCCAAGGAGGTATCCTGGGATGTTCTTGAGCCGCTGGTGTGACCCGACTCTAAAGCCAGGCGCCAGATTCAGAAGCAGCACGCTGTTCATGAGCTTGTCGAAGTCGGGGGTCTCCTGACAAAACATGGACATCCGGAGACACGAGTGGCCTCAGTAGGTCATGCACTAAATCTGGGCAAGTGCAGACTATAGGGTATGATTGCAGCAATACACATCGCCCCAGTAGCCTCCGGCTCCGTCACATAGTGCTTCAGCCTGCAGACAACATGTATCTACGGCACCGCAGATAGGTAAACTCCGACTGAAACTGCGAAAGCCAATGCAGCCCCAAAAGTGTCGAAAGCATCGCGCAGATGTAAGCCGAGCAGCATCTGGCCAAACGGCGAGCGAGACTCTGGCTCCTCCACGCGAAAGCGCCCTTCGACTGTGACTGTAGCGAACTAAAGTGAGTTTATGATCCACCGCTATCATCATCACCACGAGCCGTGATGCTCAAGACCCCTCCATCCCACAGGCGACGCGGACGAGTCCTGGGAAAGCAGCCTCGCACACACAAGAACTCCAAAGGAAGGGGTGGCACATTCATTCATTTGCGCGATGTACCTTTTTGAAGGACATTGCAAGATGCAGGGTTTGGTGAGCTGTACTGCGACCCTTCGGCAGCATGCGCGAACATGTGGTGCAAAGGCTATTTCAGTGACTCAGGGACCCTCGAGGGGATGAACCGCTCGCAAGGAGGCAAGTAAGGCCAAGCTGCAGATCGCTTTCAAGCAGGAGAGATGCTTTGCAGAAGTTGTCCTTGGAAACCTGAGGACACCAAGCCCAGAGTGCACTAACACGAGATGGACTCTAACCTGACACTGACACTCATGGAAGCCACAATGCCAAAAGGCAGCCCTAGGACTAAGAACGTTCTCTCTCCTCTTCTTCTTCTCCTTCTTATCCTTCTTCTCCTTCTCCTTCTCCTTCTCCTTCTCCTTCTCCTTCTCCTTCTCCTTCTTGTTCGTCTTCTTCTCCTTCTTCTTGTCGCGCACCCGTACAAGTTCTTTGCTACTCGGGGGAGAGGATCTTGCCCTTGCCCTTTCTTCCCGGAAAAAGCACAGACTGAGTTGGCTCCAAGCTGGCACCAAGCACCAAGCACAGAAAAGTTCTCACCCAAACCAAACAGAGACCTCCTGTCCCGCCTCGGGGTGTGAGAGTACGTGTGGACTTCCCCCCCCCCCCCCGACAACAAGCAGCGGTGTTGCAGTTGCTGCGGCATACTCCGGCTCATTAGAGGGACATGATCAGCAGGATTCAACTTGAGACGACAGCGAGCAGGTACACGCTAGGAGGCATGTCCATTGTCTTTGCTGCTCTGGGTCTGTCACTGGTTGCGCGCACACTTCAGCAAGGCTGCAGGGGTTGCGGCAGCGTTGAGGGCTAAGATTTAGAGTGCAGGATGCATGTAGTGAATCTGTGAAAGCACCAGTAGCAGTTTCGAGCTTAGGGGTCCGGCGCCATGTTCTCACCGGGGACTTACAAGCTCGCTTCTTGATCGGCATAGCTAGTATCCGACACGAGCACCGCACCCTACAAGCCACCTGCGGATTCTCGCACCGGGTTTGTTTCCCTATGATTCTGCTCGCATGACCTCCACACAAGAGCTCCCTCGATTGCAGCGCAGAGGACTGACCGCTTGCTCTCTGCTCATGTTTCTTCTTCTTCCTCCTCCTCCTCCTCTTCTTCTTCTTCTTCTTATTCGTGTGCTTCTTCTTCTTCTTCTTATTCTTCTTCTTCTTATTCTTCTTCTTCTTCTTCTTCTTCTTCTTCTTCTTCTTCTTCTTCTTCTTCTTCTTCTTCTTCTTCTTCTTCTTCTTCTTCTTCTTCTTCTTCTTCTTCTTCTTCTTCTTTGTCTTCGTCTTCGTCTTCTTCTTCTTCTTATTCTTCTTCTTCTTCTTCTTCTACTTCTGCACCCCTCTCCCTCTCTCCCTCTCTCTCACTTTCTGATGACCGCGGATCCAGAGTTCTGTTGGCATTTTTGGCAAGTGGCACCACCAAGCTCATCGTACCTGAGACGGTGGCCCAGTGATATCACTGTGTTGCACACAACGGTCGGCGCTCGCATTAAGGAGGTCTCTTTATCGTCAAGCCAGTCCTCATGAGCCAAGCTGCAAGGCGCTCGCGAACTCCTTGGGCACGAACCGCATCGCCGGAGACCTTTGGAAGACAACACCCATCAGCTGTCCACCAATGACACGCTGAAGCCGTGCTGTTAGCCAATGGGCTTTAAGGGGCCCAACAGCATACCAGCGGTGTACACGTTTACTGCAACAAAGGTCAGACAGGCTGAGTCGGATGGCAGCTGCCAACAGAAGTAGCAGAGCAAAGCACGATGAACATTGCAAAGACAGCTCCTATTTCCTGCAGCTCCCAATCATTCCCCATGCTCGCCTGCTGAAAACATTCACGAACTCCAAGAATAGGTCCTGCACAATGGTGATTGGGGCTAGCTGCGGTAGCTGGGGTGTCGTTCTAACTCGGGGGCTCCTGATAGACTTAGAGGTACTGTCTCTAAAGCTCATGGTGAGCTGCGGATGAAGAATGTTGCAAAGACTGAGAGCCTTTGGGCGTGATCGCATTTCTCTTAAGCCCACCTGGCACCATGGTCACCATATAGTGAGGCGACATGACTTTCCTATCTTTCCTCGTATAAACAGGGCATGTTAGTGTCAGGACCCAGGCGGTGTGCAATGTGGTTCCATGGTCCCTGAGGTGCCTACAGTTACTGCATGTCACTGCAGTTGCCCGTCCTTTGAAAGGACCTCGCCACCTTGCTCGGCAGCTCCCAAACCGTCCACAGACCTCCGAAGGTCCAATGACCGTGACGCATGAAGGGAGGTTCGACAGGGGTCATACACCTTCCGATAAATCTCAATCACATAAGCCCCAAGAAGGCAGTTCGAGCATGTGCCCAGCAATTGCTCGGCCTCAGGGTGTCAAAGGCTGCGAGGGTGCCTGACATCGAAGCAACTCGAAACACCCTTGTGGCCCACGAGGGTCGTGGAGTCCCAGAACCCCGGAAGCAGAACCTGAAAGACCGCCAACCTCTGCACTCTGCACCATTACACCAAAATGCTCAGACAGACAGACAGACACACAAACAAACAAACAAACAAACAAACAAAGAAACAAACAAGCAAGCAAGCAAGCACACGCACACACGCACACACGCACACACGCACACACGCACACACGCACACACGCACACACGCACACACGCACACACGCACACACGCACACACGCACACACTCACACACGCACACACGCACACACGCACACACGCACACACGCACACACGCACACACGCACACACGCACACACGCACACACGCGCACACGCGCACACGCGCACACACGCACACACGCACCCACGCACACACGCACACACACAGCCACACAGCCACACAGCCACACAGCCACACAGCCACACAGCCACACAGCCACACAGCCACACAGCCACACAGCCACACAGCCACACAGCCACACAGCCACACACACACACACACACCTCGCATGCTCACATGCTCACATGCTCACATGCTCACATGCTCACATGCTCACATGCTCACATGCTCACATGCTCACATGCTCACATGCTCACATGCTCGCAAGTTTACGCTTTCATGTCCCGTGACTGGTGAGTCCGGGCGAGAGCTCAGAGAGTCGGTGAGCCAGAAGTCTGGCGGCGGGACGAAGGGACTGCACTTGTCAACCCTGAAGTCTATGCTCCCCCGTACTCCGAAAGGCCGCCTGAAGATTCTGAAGATATCCCCCCACCAAATCCCCGCCATACTCGTGAAGGCACAATAAGGCACGTTCATTGTGACCGACAACAGAATTGGTTGGCCACATGGTTGGCCCCAAGGCTGAGACGTTCAGCACCAAATTTTTGGGGCCTTTGAGCTTGAAGCGCCCGCGCCAGCAGAGCTGCTCAGCAGGAGCTGGCGGCGGCAGAGAAGCTCACAGAGTTAATCACGGAAAAGTGCCCCTCCAGCGTCCTGAGGTAGCCGTAGGTCTGAGCACTCCAGACTCTCACAGTCTCGTCTGCGGAAGCACTTGCCAAAAGTCGGCCATCATCTGAGTAGCTGATGCCAAAGACCTTCCCGCTGTGGCCTTGTAGGTGAGCGACGCGCTCACCCGAGAAGGCATCCCAAACACAGACGCATCGATCTTCCAAGGCCGCTGCCAGATGTGTCCTGGACTCCGGGTTCCAGCACACCGCAAAAACTGCAGAGGAATTGTCCAACTTCTGCTGGACTCCACATGTCTGTCGAGTCTTCCATACGTAGATCTCGCGGCCCCGTGCCGCAATGGCTACATGAAGACTGTCGGCTGACCAGGCTGCACATGTTAACGGCTTGTTCTGACACTCAATGGTTTGCTGCCATTCCAGGGAACCTGGACCTGCATCCCACACGATCGCCCTGCGATCCTCTGAAGCTGTGAGCAGTCGTGCGTCGTCTGGTGAGAACCCAGCCCACAAGACGTCCTTGCGATGCCTCCGCACGACCGCGAGGCACTCGCCAAAGCTGCCAGCACTCCAAATGCGTGCGGTGCAGTCGGAGGAAGCGGAGACCAGTCGGCTGCTGTCGTTCGAGAAGTTCACGCATTGGACAGCGCGCTGGTGACCGCGTAGGGTTAGCCTCCAGGAGAGCCGTGGAACGCTCCACAGCCGCACGGTGTGGTCCGAGGAGCCCGTCGCTACGCACTCGCCGTCTGGTGACAAGGCCACAGACATCACGGAGAGGTCGTGGCCAAGGAAGGATGTTAACCATTCGCCCGTGGCAGCATCCCACAAGGCAGCTGAGCCATCAGAACATGCTGTGGCCAGAAGTTTTCGTGAGGAAAGCACCACGTTGACCTCTTCGAGCTCTTCGGGAATGGTTGCACCCTCTGAGAGCTCCCCACCTCCAGGCGTAAAGAAGCTGAGACCACAGCCTGGAGCCGTTTCAACCATGGCCTTTACTTCACTCCTCAGCTGGTTCACTGTGGCAGGCTTGTCCAACCACACCTCTGCATAGACAGCACCGCTCAAGGACAGGCACACCACCCGCTGCCGTCCCTCCTTCCTCCCCTGGTGCAACCCCTGGTGCACCTGCTGCCCCTGCATTCCCTCGCTTGTGCTGCCATCATTGTTTGTTCTTGCGGGACTTTGCGACCGTCTTGTGGAGCTCCGCGACCGTGAGATTGCAGACGAGCGCCTGCCACGTGGCATGGCATTGGCTGTCCTTCACAGTGTCCGGGTTACATGGCAGAGACTGGCATCAGACCTTGCGTTGCTACCGCCAAAAATCAATGAGTCAAATGTTGTGCCAAACACGCCTTGACTGCTTTGACAGATTTTGGGGATCATCTCTATTCACGAGGTTCTCACGTTTTCTTCCTAAGTAGCTAAGTAGTTGAACCATGGTAGCGCGTTGACCTGCCCTGATGTTGAAAGCATCTGCTGCAAGGCTTTGCAGTGGAGTCTTGGTGTGACTAAACCCTGAGCAGAAAGGGCTTTGATGCAGGATGCTACGGAAAGATGCCAAATGAGCATTGAACGTGCAACAGTGAACCCTGTGTCCCTGGGCAGACAACACCTGAACCCTCCCCGAACCACGGAGCGAGGTCCGACATGATCCCGGCGGTAGCATGCGCCTTCCGCTCGGATCTCCATTAAGTGATTCTTCGACTCCTTGGCCCCCCTGGCAGCTGCCCAGCTTGGGATCATAGAAGAAGCAGCGTTCTAAAACATCTTTTCGGGGTACCTATTCTGCTATGATGGTCTCGCCATTGTAGGGAAACTTTCCATTCAGATGCAAGAGTCGGCGGTATGGCAAAACTCTGCCCTCCAGCCGCACACTCTGTCATCCTGGCCTGATGTATGCCGAGACCAAAGTGTCGAGCGTAAGGCTCTCGAAAAGAACCTGCTCACAAGGCTGCTTGCATCAGAAACGACCGACTTGATCTCAGCACCCCTAGGCCCGAAGCCCCCCAAAACCACTTATCCTCAACCCTGAACCCCAATTGTATGAACCCTCCAGTTACATTAAGCCCAAAACTCTCCTACTATGATCTTCAACCCTAAAACCCCAATCCGCCGAGGCCTTGGGCCGTAGGAGTATGGGAAGCATGAAACAGGTACCTCTCCTTGGCTAAACCCCAAGCTACAATGATTAACCCTAAACCCTTCCTGTGAGACTCTTCAGTATACACCCCCAACTTATCCTTTCCTAACATTCAGCCCCCCCCCCCCCCTAGTATATTGGGGGGGGGGGGGGTCTTTAATACTAGGGGGGCAGGGGGAGCGTTTATCCGCCGACCCCAGCAACAGCGGGGCGGCGTCAGTGAAGACCCTCTGTTTGTTTCCCCCCGCCACACCCCACCGATTAGAAACCCACCCCTCCCCCAACCCCTCCCCCCAAACCCCCCACCCCCCCCCCTGCCCTACCCCCCGACCCCCCCCCTCCGCCGATACCCCTCCCTCGCCCGATAGTGGCAAATGATTTAGAGGCTCCAGCACACGCCCGCCCTCCCTCCCCCCAACCCCCCCCGACACCCCGCCTCCCCTTCTCACCCCCCCCCCACCCCCTCACCCCCTAACC